CTAAGCTCTGCAGTCCTGCCACATCCAGTCGTGAATGGTGGTGGATAATTAAACAACTCACTGGAGGAGGAGGCTCCACAAATATCCCCATCCTCAATGATGGAAGAGCCCAGCACATCAATGCAAAAGATAAGGCTGAAGCTTTCGCAGCAATCTTCAGCCAGATGTGCCAAGTTGATGATCCATCTCAGCCTCCCCCAGCATCACAGACACCAGTCTTCAGCCAATTCGATCCATTCCACGTGATATCAAGAAACGGTTGGAGACACTGGATACTGCAAAGGCTACGGGCCCTGACAACATTCCAGCAATAGCACTGAAGACTTGTGCTCCAGAACTTGCCGCTCCCCTAGCCAAGCCGTTCCAGTACAGTTACAACACTGGTATCTAACCGACAATGTGGAAAATTGTCCAAGTATGTCCTGAACACAAAAAGCAGGACAAATCCAACCCAGCCAATTCCTGCCCCATCAGTCTCCTCTCGATCATCAGTAAAGTGATGGAAGGTGTCAGTAACAGCGCTATCAAGCAGCACCTGCTCAGTGAGGCCCAGTTTGCGTTCCGCCAGGGCCACTCAGCCCCGATCTCATTACAGCCTTCGTTCAAACATGGACAAGAGAATTCCAGAGGTGAGGTGAGAGTGACAGCCCTTGATATCAAGGCTGCATTCGACCTAGTGTGGCATCAAGGAGCCCTGGCAAAACTGGAATCGATGGGTATCGGGGGGCAAATGCTCCAGCGGTTGGAGACATACCTAACACATAGAAAGGTGGTTATGATTGTTGGAGGTCAAACATTTCAGCTCCAGGACATCCCTGCAGGAGTTCCTCAGGGTAGTGTCCTGGGCCCAAACATCTTCAGCTGCTTCATCAACGACCTTCCCTCCATCATAAGGTCAGAATTGGGGATGTTCACTGATGATTGCACAATGTTCAGCACCATTCGCAACTCCTCAGATACTGAAACAGCCCATGTTCAAATGCCACAAGATCTGGACAATATCCAGGCTTGGGCTGACAAGTAGCAAGTAACATTCACGCCACACAAATACCAGGAATAACCATGTCAAAAAAAGACAATGCAATCACTGCTGCTTGGCATTTATTGGTGTTACTATCACTGAATCCCCCACTATCGACACCCTGGGGGTTACCATTGACCACAAACTCAACTGGACTCACCACATAAACACAGCGGCTACAAGAGCAGGTCAGAAGCTGGGAATACTGCAGTGAGTAACTCTCCTCCTGACTCCCCAAAGCCTGTCCACCATCTACAAAGTACAAGTCAGGAATGTGATGGAATACTCCCCACTTGCCTGGATGAGTGCAGCTCCAACAACACTCAAAAAGCTTGACACCATCCAGGACAAAGCAGCCCGCTTGATTGGCACTACATCTACAAGCATTCACTCCCTCCACCACTGACGCTCAGTAGTAGCAGTGTGTACTATCTATAAGATGCACTGCAGAAATTCACCAGGGATCCTCAGACAGCACCTTCCAAACCCACGACCTCTACCATCTAGAAGGACAAGGGCAGCAGATACATGGGAACACCCCCACTAATAAATTCCCCTCCAAGCCACTCACCATCCAGACTTGGAAATGTATTGCTGCTCCTTCATTGTTGTTGGGTCAAAATCCTGGAATTCCCTCCCTAACAGCATTGTGGGTCAATCTACAGCACATGGACTGCAGTGGTTCAAGAAGGCAGCTCACCCCCACCTTCTCAAGGACAACACTCACGTCCCATGAATGAATACAAAAACCCTGATGTTTGCAGTATCCTGTTTGTCACAGTCAGATAACCCATGAATGACTCAATTATTCCCACTTTTCTGTCTGTTGGTCAATTGTCAATATGTTACACGCTGATTCCATTGACTCCAATTTTATTTATTAACCTCGTATTTGGGTCTTAAATAAAAATCTTCTAAAAATACCAGCATACTATGTCTACCAGTTCCCCCTAATCTATTCTGCTGGTTATTTCCTCAAACACCTTTCACAAGTTTATCAAATAACATTTCCCTTTCTTAAATCCAGGCTGATCCTTTCAAGACTCATGTGCTCAGCTCTCACTCCCCAAACCCCGCTACCCCCCCTCCCCACCCCCACCCCCACCCCCACACCCCAAACCCTGAGATTGGGAGGTTGAGAGGATGATAGGTTCTGCTTACTCCCCAGTGACTGTGTTCCTCTGTGTGTGTGACTGGAACTGAGTCAACAATACTGTAATTTCAGTAAAATCAGGCAGTTTCTGTTCTGGGAGCAAAACTTTCTTGTTAATCTTCCTTGGATTGAACATAAGTCAGAAACCTGCTGCAATTGTCCTGTGACAGGTATAGAAAGTCATCAGGAAAATGGGAGATTGTTCCTGCTATAAATGTCATTGTTTCCAGTCACAGTGCTCAGTGATCAGTCTGTGTTTGGCTGCTCGGTGCTGGGAAAGCGCATGTCTGGTTGAGTGTTTGCTTCAGTCACTGATGCAGTTGGGAATGGTCAATGAAATTTTCACTTTGTTGTTGATTCAGTGTAAAGTGCACAACAACAGCAAATTACATTGAGACCTCCTCAGAACCCAACTGTGGTTTGGCATTTCATCTGGTGTATGTGGCTGATTAAAACTGGCTGTTAAGCATCTGTGTCTTCACAGAGCTGGTCTGGATGCTGCTTTCAGAGTACGAACCATATATGTATAATTATTCATAGCTTAAGACAAATAACATGCAAGTCGCACGCTGAACAGGCTGGACCACCCGTTCTGAGGCTTCAGGACTCACAGTGCTGCCAATGGGAAATTGCTTCCAAATTGCAGGATCTGATGTCCATTCAGATTGGGATCTTTAGACAGATCTCTGGGTGATCCAATCCAGCGACTGTCTGGATTCCAGACCTCTCAATTAAACGCTGCTGTCTTCACAAGAATATTACACTGGGGTGGATCATATTCCAGTCCCAACCATTCACATATCTATTTAGAAAACTTCCTTTAGGACATCTGTATTTATATCACAGGTTAAAGTGGCAACTGAGAGTGAATCCCCAGAGAGGGAGGGAGAGGGAAGGGGCGGGCAGGGAGAAAAAGAGAGTGAGGGAGGGGCAGAAAGGAAGAGCGAGGATGGGAGGGAGGGAGAGAGAGCGTGGGAGGGTGGGGGGGAGAGAAAGGGAAGAGAGCTTCCCGGAGATTCATCACAGATGGCTTGGAAATTGTGGGAGAAGACAGAGTCTACACCTTGATTGTCAGTAAACCTTTGAAATTTTTTACACTCTCTCTG